TATCAAACTATCCGACTATCAATAGCTTAGCCACCCGGCTACACGCTATAAAATTTCATACACTGATAGTTCTAGTTTATTATTTCATCATGTCTCGTGTTGTGAAGAACAATCTTGGTTATCTCCAACTCTTGGTGTCTTCTCCTGAACACCAAAAGAACTTCCTTCTTTGCACTGCTACACCCGGGCAAGTTCACGCAATTATTCAAGTGATTCATAATATTTTGTATAAGTATATCCCTACGAAAAAACAAGAACGGAATAATCTGCTACCTTACCAAAGCTCAATATGTGATCTTCACGACCCTGGTGTTCCATATAAGAAAAAGAAACAAATTCTTGTACAAGAGGGGGGTGGATTCATTTGGGATTTACTGACCCCGGCTCTGATATCGGGACTTTTGATGCTATAAATGGATAGTGATGTAGGCGCGGGCAATCATTTGATTTAAGACTCAGTTGGGGATACATCACCATGAAAAGAAAATTGGAATGGCGGGAACAAGAAGACGAAGAAGACAATGAAGAGTGCAATGATGAAGAAGAAAGTGAAGAAGAACCGCTTATTCAGAATGTTTTGCAAGATCTTTCGGACGGTGTTTCAGCGTCAGATGCCAAGGATCTTTTGCATAGCATGGCGGCTTCCAAAAATATTGTGTTCTGGACACCAGGCGGTGAGCTTTTGCGAAACCAGCGGCGCATACCTGTCACCAGCATTACAGACCTCTTAGATTATGTACTGTTGCCCTACAATCTTGATATCCTCAAACCTAGAGCCCTCAATTCGTTCCTGGAAGGATTGGCAGAATTGGGGATTAATAAGAAATGGATTCGAAACAAAAAAGTCTTAAGCGATTTAATGGRAAAAGAAGAACTTGAGGATAATAAAGAGCAATCCGATGAATCTGATAGTGAAGAATCAAGTAGCGAGGAGGAGGAGGACCGAAATTCTGAGACTAATGACTCTGAACAAGACCAGGGAGAGGTGGACGAAGAAGAAAATGAGGGAAGTGAGACAGAAGAAGATCCCTGTGTTTACTGTGGAAACAAGGATGTCAAAGTGAACAGAATAGTGAAATGTCCAAAGTGTCTTTGGCACGAAAAGCTAGTAAWTTTTCCTAGTTCAACACTCTGTAGTATTTGTGAACATCCATTTGCAGTCAATAGGAAAACGCTCAAAAGCGCGCTTACACGTTGCCATGCTTGTAAGACTATACATCACCAATCACCCAGAAGTAACAAGCAAGAAACTTTTAATTTAAGTAGCGATGAAGAATGAGCATTGYATTTTTATGTTAGTTTATAAATAAATTTACTCTCCAATGTTCTCCTTCGTATTTGACTAATTAGGTAGAACTTCGTAAGTCTTAATGAAAAGGTAAATTATACACCGTGAAAAGATGAAAAAACTTACTGACGTTAAAAAACGTCCGAAACGTCAGTAAGTTTTTTCATCTTTTCACGGTGTATAATTTACCTTTTCATCATTACTGTTTCATTAGAAACACCGACGCAGCTCA